AGAGAAAATTCAAATTTTTTGCTGACTGGGGAGACAGGTTGTAGTGTGGGTGCAGGAAGATAGAACAGAGGTCAAACTGAGTCTGAAAAGGAGTGGAACTGAGGTTTTGCAATTGGCTATGCATCACTCATCTTGTGGGTGAACCACATCAAAGAGATTGGTTGGTGAAAAACAGGTGGATGCAGGTCAGAGTGTTCAGCAACAAGACCCACTAGAGCAGGTTGGGCGGCAGCAGGTGGTCTGACAACAGCTGGGGCGGCAGCAGCTGGAAATGCAGCAGGAGGGGCGGCAGCAGGTGGTCTGACAGCAGACTGGGCGGCAGCAGCTGGAAATGCAGCAGGAGGGGCGGCAGCAGGTGATCTGACAGCAGACTGGGCGGCAGCAACTGGAGATGCAGCAGGTGGGTCTGCAGCAGGTGGACCCACAACAGGAAGGGCGGCAGCAGCTAGAAATGCAGCAGCTGGGCTGGCAACACTGGGGCCTGCAGCAACTGGACACACAACAGCTGGGCCTGCAGCAGGTGGGCTGGCAGCACACAGACTGGCAGCACTGGGGCCTGCAGCAGCTGGACACACAACAGCTGGGGCGGCAGCAGGTGGACACACAGCAGGTGGGACGGCAGCAACTAGACACACAACAGCTGGGGCGGCAGCAGGTGGGCTGACAGCACACAGACTGGGAGCACTGGGGTCTGCAGCAGATGGACACACAGCAGCTGGGGCGGCAGCAAGTGGGCTGACAACAACTGGGGCTGCAGCAGGTCTCCTGGCCTTGACCACAGCCCTGGTCAGAGCAGACGGAGCCACAACAGGAGTTGACCATGGTGTCAGAGGGTGGAGGTTCTGAGGGTGTTTCCAGGAGAGTGAAGTTTTTTTGAGTTTGGAAGTCTCCTCACCCCGTGTTCCCTTTTATACCCTACTAAGGGCTGCTGTGCTCAGGTGCAGTACTCTTCCTTGTTATTGTTTCTCCTAATCAATAGGCAATTATCAAATTAGGAAAGTTTGTTTTCCTGGATAAATTTTTCAAAGATGGGTGGAAAACATGGTTTCTTTTCCTTATGTGGAGGATTCATCCCATCACCTCTTCCTCATTCACCTCGTTTGTGACTTTCTTGCTTTGATTTCCTCCAAGAGAGCTGTCACATGACATTCTGTCTCTATATGTGTCAGTGACACTTTGCATGGCCCACCATGTCTACATTTGGTGACAGTGCTTCACATAGGCCCATGATTATTTTGTTGATCAGGGAGGATAAAACTGATTTTTAATCTAATGGTTCATTCAGTGTTATTCAGGTTGGGAAAGAACATTTGAATGTATGCGCATTAACTCTTAATCAGAAGATTGTTAGGGCCTAACCCCTCCCCACTGTGAATCATGAACCGTTTTCTAGACATTTGATGGAAACTCTTTTAAGGAAAAAAACCAAGTCATAAAATGGTAGTGTTCATTTTTTTCCTAATCTCACTTTTAAGACTTCTTTGGGGAAGCTGAAGGTGTTTTCTCAGCACAGTGGTTAAACACTCATCTGCTCACCAAAAGTTTGGCACAAAGTAGAACCACTTTGTGATATGGTTTCTGTGTGTCAGAATCAACTCAATGACATTGGGTTTTTTCTTTTGGGGAAATTTTTTCTGCAGAGATAATTAGCAACTTGCCATGAGGTTCAGATCTCTCAGCTCCCTGGTCTATGGTGGGTTCTTCTACCACACATGCGCACAGATACTCTTAGCGCTTAAAGGGCCAGTCCCCACTTAAACCAACCAGCAACGCAAAAGGGCCACAGCTGACCCTGAACTGTTTAATAACAGTGAAAAGGCCAGAACAGGGGTTGTGAAGTAGGAGAGAGTCTAGAAACAAAACAGGCCAAACATTAAATCCTGATGTACAGCAACAATCAAAAGTGACATCTTGAAATTTATCAGGCAGACTTGAAGGCAAGAAACTGGAGGAGGATATTAAAGTCATACTCATATTAGGCTATAGGTTTTTTTTTCCTTCTCTCTCTCTTTTCCATGATTATAGACTACAGTATCTAATCTGTTGTTTTATTGATTGATTGATTTTGCTATTGCTGGGTTGTTTTGTTTTGTTTTTTTTTTGCCTCCCGCTTTTACCTTTAGGGGGCTCTTTCTCTATCTATATTACCTAAGAAGGGACAGAAACTGCTGCCATATAGTCACACTACAATCACACTCTATAAAACATGAAAATCCATAACCATAACTCTAAAGTTAACTCTAAAGTTAACTCCAAAACCATAACTCTAAAGCATCAATTCTTCTTCGGTCTTCCTAATTTACTGTCCAGCTTTTGCATGTATATGAGGTTATTGAAAATATCATGGTTTGGATCAGGTGCACCTTAGTCCTCAAGTGACATCTTTGCTCTTCAACACTTTAAAAAGGTCTTGTGCAGCAGATTTGCCTAATGCATTATGTCGTTTGATTTCTTGACTGCTGCTTCCGTAAGTGTTGATAGTTGATCCAAGAACAATGAAGTCCTTGACAACTTCAATCTTTTCTCCATTGATAAGAATGTTGTTTATTGGTCCAGTGGTGAGGATTTTTGTTTTCTTTACATTGAGATGCAATCTATATCAAATGCCTTGCTCTTTGACCTTCATCAGTAATATTTTAAGTCCTCTTCACTTTCAGCAAGCAAGGTTATATCATTTGCATATTTCAGGTTATTAATGAGTCTTCCTCTAATCCTGATGCCAAGTTTTTCTTCATATAACCCAAGTTCTTAGATTATTTTCTCAATATACAGATTGCATAACTATGGTGAAAGAATATAGCCCTCTTGCACACCTCTCTTAATTTTCAACCATTCAGTGTTCCCATGTTCTATTCGAACAACTGCCTCTTAGTCCATGTACAGATTCCTCATGAGCAGAAATTAAGTATTCCAGAATACTCATACTTCATAATGTTGTCCATAGCTTGTCATGATCCACACAATCGAAAGCCTTTGAGCAATCAATAAAGCACATGTAAATATCTTTCTTGTATTCTCTGTTTCCAGCCAATATCCATCGGACTTCAGCAATAATATCCCTCATTCCCCAATGAAGGACCCTGTGCCTGATCAACAGAATGGCATTGCAACTACCCCCAATTGGCACTGAATGTGGTCCTGCTTGAGCTTCCAGTCTCCAGAAAGCTTGTGTATTTGTTACACCTGGAGACCCTCCCCCGGTAATTCCAGGTTTCAGGAAAATCTCCATACCCTCACCCATTGTAAACTCTCTAGAACTGTACCCAGACCACACCTCCTTAAATACCACAGTCTGTAAGAGAACAGACGGGCTCTTGGTCTCCTTTGGTGACTTAAGAGTACCCGCTCCCAGATTTACTCTCAATAAACCTGCCTGCTGTTGAAGCCAAGACTCTCTCCTTCGTCTCTCTCTTTCTTTTCCTTACACCCGGCCTCTTCTGTATCTGGCTTGAACCTCTGGAAGTTCTCTGTCAGTGTATGCTTGTAGCCATTTCTGTATTACCTTTAGTAAAACTTTACTTGCATGGGATAGCAGAGATTGTCTGATGATTTCTGCATTGTGTTGTGTCACCTCTCTTTGGAACAGGCACCAATATGGATCTCTTCCAATCAGTCAGCCAGACAGTTGTCTTCCAAATTTCTTGGCAGAGATGAGTGAGTGTCTCCTGTGCCTCCTCACTTTGTTGAAAGATTTCAATTTTTGTTCCATCAATTCTTGGTAACTTATTCTTCGCTAATTCCTTCAATGCACTTTGGACTCCCTCCTTCAGTATCATTAGCTCTTGATTATATGCTACCTCTTGAAATGGTTGGACATCAACTATTTCCTTTTGGTACAGTGAGTCTGTGTATTCCTTCTATCTTCTTTTGATGCTTTCTGTATCATTCAATAATTTGTCCAGAGAATCCTTCAATAACGAAAGTTGAGGCTTGAATTTTTTATTCACTTCCCCCAGCTTGAGAAATGCAAAGAACAAATTGTTTTTTGCTGTAAAGTGCTGTTGAGTCCTTTCTAATCCATAGCAACCCTGTAGAGTTCGAACCACCAACCTTGCAGTTCAAACCAACTTTGTAGTCTAGCACATTAACCCACAGTGCCACACCAGGACTCCAAAGAACAAATGGCACATGTGAATATCAGTCACCATGACCCAGGTATCAAAAGATCTAGATGGTGCCTGGCTACCATGACCAACTGCTCTGAAAGGATTAACATGACAATATCCTGGGTTTTGTTGTTGTTGTTAGGGGCTGTCATGTTGTTTCCAACCAATAATGACCCTATATAGGGTTTCTGAGGAGCCACTGGTGAGCTTGAACAACCAATCTTGTAGTTCAACCAACTTTGCAGTCAGCACATTAACCCACAGTGCCACACATGAAACTCCAAATTGTTTAATAAAAAACAAAAAAGTACCAGTCTTACTGGTCAGAAAGAAACTGGAGGAACCTGAGAATATGGGTTTCAACCACCCTTCATGTTTGGAACTAAGCTCACCTTCATGGCTCTTTTTTTTTTTTTTTTTTTTTTTGCCAAGAGGTAGATAGGTATACAGGAGGGACCACAACACTAGTAAGTTGTGCTTACCATGCGATGGTCAACCATTCAAGATCAAAGGGCAATATTTACATTTGGACAAAATAAAAAAGTTTGTAAGGGAAGGTGGAATGGAAATAAGAATTAAAGTGAGGAAGTGGGATAAATATTGCAACATGGAGATGATTGTAATCATTGAGATGAAATGAAGTGTATGATTTCATTAATGTAAAACTGATGAGCTGCTCTATAAACCTCTACTCAAATCACATTAAAAAGTTTCAAAACAATGAGGTACCATATGATCAAGAACCAATTATATTAATAGAAGAAATCCAAGCTGCACTGAAGACACTGGCAAAAAAACAAGGCTCCAGGCCTCTGCATTACATAAGACTAGAGGTGGAAGCCTGAACCCCATCCAGATCTTCAGAGGTGGGAAATTCCCACTTGAAAGGACGAGAAGACCAGCCTGGAGCAGGTAGAAGAACAGAAGATACTTCTTGATAGAAAGACCTACAGGAAAAATACAAAAAAAATATAGGCAGACTGACTGTTACTACAAGAACAAGCCAGTTGCTTGCCCAGGAGACATAAAGGCAAGTGGTCGGGTCCCCTTAGTGCAAACCCCCTTCCAAGACTAAGACTCAATGGGAATACACGCTCTGATTGGTGACCACGTTTGTCACTGATAAGGGGAAGTGAGGG